GATTCCGGCCAAACATGGGTTCGAGAAATAGGTCACAGGTCAAAGGTCACTTGGGTGAGGGTCATGAAATTTTCAGAGTAGGTGTAAGATTGATCAACTCGAAGGCACTAAAAGTTTTGTCGCGATCGGCCGCTTTTTACGCGAGTTATTCGCGAAAAAAACATGGGGCCCTACACATGCGAGGTTTAAGTGGCCTTTAGGGAATTGATTGAATTGTATATTGTGACAATGTTTCAAAAATATATAATTTTTTGTATATATTCTTAAAATATGTGTATCTTTCAAAAAAATTGAGATATCGAGGTTTTAGTGACGTCATGATCTCAGAGTTTTCGACCAAAAATGTACCTATGTATATGTTTACAAAAACATATGAAATCATAGAACAAACGTACAGACATGCAGTCAATGCCATTAGACTGCCAATACCATGCACAATCAAATGGCTGTCTTTAACTTTTTATTATCGTTGTGCAATGTACATTTTACAAAGTCTTGAACTCAGAACTGATTTTTACAAAGTCTTGGCAGTTTCTCGTTATCAGTTCACGACTATGATTTACTGTAGCTCTGACACGGTGACAAAGTTGCAAAAAAGTGATTTGAGGCTGGGTCATTCGAAGTGACCTAGTGACCTGACTTTGAAAGCTAGAAGGTTCAAACTTGCACACTATGCATAAAATTGATGAGGGAAAAGTCATGTCATGAATTTCGCGGCGCTAAGCGCCGCGGTTTTTGTGCTATCCACGAAAAACGTCAGGTGGGGGGCGGTCAACCGCCCCCCCCCCCTCCCCGTCAGTGCACGGGTTAACATTATCGGTGACACTTTAAAAACCTAACCCAAATGGGGCACAGCACCCAGTGGCCAGTACCTACCTACCTATATACCTACCTACCTACCATTCTCGAACCTTGGACAGCTGAGCCTGAAGACCTGAGCTCGTCATTGCATTTGAATTGCACTCATTGACTTGCTAATAGTCAATGAGTTCGATAGCCTTTACGGTAGCCTTTACGGAAAATGTCGATAGCCTTAACCCTCGCATGTGTAGGAGGGGGGGGTTCGGATGGACCCCCCCATGGTTTTCGCGAATAACTCGCGTAAAAAGCGGCCGATCGCGACCAAACTTTCAGTACCCTCGCATTGATCAATTTTACACCTACCCTGAAAATTTCATGACCCTGACCCAAATGACCTTTGACCTGTGACCTCTTTTCCGAGACCATGTTTGGCCGGAATCGCGATTTCGCGTATGTCGGCTCGCACTAGCCGCGTGTTTGCAAGCTTTTCGTGGTTTCAAACGTTCCAACATGTGATTTGATGTTACTGCCGTGTGTGTCAAGGTCACCTGAAGGTCAGGTCAGGTCATTGACCTTTGGTGACCTCGGGTGACCTCGGGTCACTTTTTCGAGTTGTACATGTTTCTAGGCTAGTTTATGGAGCTGAATTCGAATTTAGCAACCATTTGAACATTTACGAAGTAGTTTTGGTGACTTCGTAACATGTTACGAAGCTGTCAGAGGCGGTTGACACGTACTACGAATACCCGTCACGACGCCTACTGGTTGACCTGACCTGACCTGACCCGACCTGGTCTAAATGCTTCAAGACATCATCTGTGATCAAAACTAACACGATATTCGTGATCAGCACCCCGAAAAACCCCTTAGCAGCCACATTTTACGACTTTCTAACAGGTCCCGATTTTCCCGACTTTGGGTCATTGACCTGACCTGGAAGGTCAATCAATGACCTAGGACCTTAAAATTGGGTATCATCGGCTTCCTCTCGTCACGGGCAACACGCTCGTTTTTTCCGCGAAGCTCTAGCTCGATCAGGGGCCAAACGGCAAGGGGGGGTCCAACCGACCCCCCCCCCCCCCCTACACATTAGAAGCTGGCAAACGCCGCACACATGCGAGGGTTAACGGAAACGTTACGTTTGTCAACTTCAATCACCTTTCCAAACAACGCTCCATGTATTCACGAATATGTATTTCATGAGCCTGACGGCCTCTCAGATTCACATAGTCTGGGAGCAGCTAGCGACATCTACACTGCAAATATGCTACAAATACTGCCACCTAGCGGTGAGCCCGCAACACTTGCTCCGGCGTGCGCGGCGCCAGTGTGGCGACGGACACGGTCGGGTTGGGTCCTCGTCGGTTCTCTCTCCCCCTCTTCCTCTCTCTCTCTCGGTCGGCGGCGGGCCGATGGGCCGACACCTGAGCGCCAGAGGGCCGCCGCCGGCCGGTCGGTCGGCCGGCGGCGGCGGTGGCGATGAGCGGGATGCGACAAATGAATGGTGTGGTGACGGCCGGCCGGCGCGCGCCGCCCGGCACCGCTGGCCCCGCCGGCCCGCCCGGCCGATTCTCTTTGGTTGTGAGGTACAGTTCATCGGCGGCACAGTGCCGGCGCGCGGCGCCACGCGCACGGCGAGTGTTTGTTCTCAGACTGGATCACTGGGCACAGTATGGCGCGCACTATCCTCCTCCTCTCTCCTTCTCCTATCTCCTCTGTGTCCTCGCTCGTTGGGCGGCTGCGGCGGCGGCGCCGCGCCGCCCGGGCGGGGTCACTCGGCCGCCCTGCCCAGGCGCCGTAACAACTCAGCTTCAACAAGTTTGGCGGCCGCGCGCGCGGCGCTCCGCCAGAGTGTGGTCCGTGAGCGGCGGCGGCGGCGGCGCGCCGGCCGCTAGCCACTGAACGCACTCCGGCCGGAACACAGCCGCTTTTGTGACGCGCAGCAGTTACGCTGCACGTATTTCCGCGAGCAGTACCGGTAGCCGTACCGCTGGATGAACTGTTTACACGAGAGATGGCCCACTAGCCGGTTGACCCGGTCCACACACTGGCCAGCCGCCTCTGTAACGGAGGGAGACAGAGGTCAGAGGTCACAGGTCACACAAGAGGTCACTGACCGTCAGAGAGGTCACAGCATAGGTCACAGAAACAGAGGTTCCAACAGCAGAGACAGGCAAAGACCACAGACTAGCCAGAGGTCAATGACCTATTCACAAATCACACGATAATCACAGATCACAGAGGTCACTGACAAGGTGGGGTCACAGGTTACAGAGTAGAGGTGCTGGCTAGACAGAGGTCAGAGGACACAGACCTGTCTCAGAGGTCACCGCGGCTCATAATAACGCAGTAGAGTACGGCGTCTACTCAGCAAGCACAGGTTAGCATGCTGCCCCGCACGAGGCTCTGATAAAATGTCCCAATTCTAAGGTAATGAACACTTGTTCAAAGGCTGATATCTGCTGCAATTAACAGTCAGTCAACAAACATGGAATCGACCGAACACGCAAGGAAAATCTCCAGGATATATCACAAAGGAATGGGTAGTAAATTCATACTAATTGGACTTTACCGTATCCGAATATCACGGACGAGGGAAGCGGCTTTCAGCCGGCAGATTAACATCTCACCAAGGGGCCCACGGCTGGTAAGCCGCGTCGGGAGTCGATGGCTCGCAGAACAGCTCACAGAACACGGAGTCAGGGAGCGGTCGGCCGCGGTGACACGGCGTCCCCTCTGACATTATCTCTGAGCGGGCATTTTTATGTGCCGCTGTCATGGCGCAGTCAACACAGCCGGCTACGACCGGTGATTAGTTTGGCGTCGATGAGACAGCGGTGTCGGCGGCGCTAACCACCGATTGGAGCCACTCCCTCGGCAGTAAATCACGGATCACTCAGAGACGAGGGAGTGCCGGCCACTCAGAGTGCCGCCAGCTTCGCCACGCGACGGGACGGGACGGGACGGACCGAGCCGGTAGGAGCCTGAACAGACTCGGCTATTCGGCTAACAAAATATATTCATGGTATGTCCAGGATGTATACCGTATTAGTCATAGGTATGGGAAGAATTGATAAGGCTAGGTCTCCTCGTGGCATTGGAGTCGAACTTAATAAGTGGGAATGAAGCCTATAACCAAATTATCTGAGGTTCCCGACAGACGATTATGATATTTGCCGGTTTATAACAAAAGCCATCTAAGGTAAATGTCCACGACCTCAGTGGAATTACATAGCCCGCTCGTCGAGGACGAGGGTACCGTCCTGCCTGACCATTTTGATGTAGATGGCGCCACCTACATCTCGGGAGGCCCTCATCAAGTGACCACAGGCAGCCAGAGCAATTGCCGCTCTAACTACCACTTCTGAGGGCTGTGCGTGTCCCACTGTCTCAAATGCTACCCCTACCCCACCCCCTCGAAGGCACGTGCACTATGCAGTCCCCTCCCCTTCCCCTTCCAGGACCCGTCGCTCGCCTGCGGCGCGCCATGAATGGAGAGGAATGCGCCGCCGCCGGTCCGCCGCCGTCCGAGATGTTTTAGCGGTGAAGTCACTGACAGACGGCCGCCGGGACACGTGCAAATAGTGTCCAGTGGACCGTCTGGCTGGAGGATGGATGTGCCACCGGCGACGCACCTCACCATAGTGACGGAGAGGGGAGGGGGGATGGCGAGAAACGTGACGGTAACGCTGCCTGTTAAAGATCTTGGAGAGCTCTGAGAGTGTTCCTTGGTAAGACTGGGCGGACAGACAAGGCAGCAGGCGGGTATGGGCTGACTGACTGACTGACTGACTGACTGACTGACTGACTAACTGACTGACTGACCAACTGACTGACTGACTGACTGACTGACTGACTGACTGACTGACTGACTGACTGACAGAGTGACATTCTCCAGTGATCTCCGCCGTAGACCAGAGGCGGGTGCAGCCGGCCTTATATGGAAGTGGGGAGACGTCCTGGAGCCTACAGACCTCACTGCACTCCAGTGTAAACTCTGCAGAGTGAGCTGAGACTACCCACGGCGCGACTTTGACGAGAAACAACGCATTGCTGGAGAATGGCGAGCTGGACATTCGGAATCTAGTTTCGCTGTGTATGAAACGAAGCAAAACAATGCACCATAGTTTCTGAGCGTCGTGCTCGTTTTTCGAGTTCCTGCTGAATAAGCTCACGCTGCGGCTGCCAAGTGGCCGTTGCACGTTCACAGAGCCGCACTGTTGCGAACTGCTCCAGGGAAGGCAATGGGCCGTAAAAGATCCCGCGTATCCCACGACCCGACTGCCGACAGCCCGTTTTATGTCGATGAGCTGTTCCAATCAGTCGGGGACGTAGCAAACGTCCCAGACATGGCACAATCTTCGTACTGATTCATACATTGCTCAACGTTATACGAATGCTCGTGTCATCACGTCGCACCAATGTCCACTCTGTCCCTCCAATGAAAAAGGGTTGCGCTCCGCTATTGTGTCGTGCTACCCCCACTATCTTTCCCCATGTCATTTGCTAACTTTCCTAGACATCCCCAGCCTCACTGCGGGGTACACCGTCAAACCCTTAGTACACTCACACAACCCTTACAATCCTCCAAGTCCTCGCATCCCAGTGCCGATCCTACCCAGCTCAGCACCTAAATCACCCCGCGCTGCCTGCTCCGTCCCGGCCCCGTCGACTCGAGTCTGGCCTTGGGGTACCGGTTTTTGCCATTCATTAAATTAGCCGGCGGCTGCCGCTGGCCATGGCAGCTGAGCGCCTATCCACAGCGAAAACGCCGGAGCCCGCGCCTAGTGTCTATGGAGATTGGACGCATCCGTCGGCACTGGTCGAGATTGGACGGGAATGATCCAGTATGCATACGGGTTACACTTCCTGCGCAAGTTTACCTGCACATGGTGATAGAATTATATAAGCTTGGACGTAAACTAAAGACGAGGAAAAGTAAATATCTACATCCGATGTCGTAACCGGAGTAAATAAAGAAATCGAGGTTTATTATTTTCAAACAAGCCGCTTTGGGGATAGAGGATAAAGGTCAACACTTTCACCGGTAAAAGTTAAGCAGTGATTAGAGAATCCATATATGAAATCACCGTGATAAATGTATCATTAGATGAACACAAAACTGTTTCCGGATGAAAAGTAAAAGCAGCCGCACAGGTAACGGGGGTAGAGGATCAAAAAGATAGACCGACAGGCAAAGACAAGGCCCGCAATTCATATAATTAACAAACAAATAACTTGACGTATTAAGAGGTAAACGGGCAGTAGAACAGACGGACACACGGACAGACAGACGGACAGACGAACAGAAGAACAGACGGACAGTCGGACAGACGGACAGACGGACAGACGGACAGACGAACTGACAAACACACTCAGCTAGACGGAGATGTCCAGCCATACATACAGACACCCTCAGAAACCAAGACGTCTTTACCCAGCCGCCAGTCAATCTGCGATGTCACCTCTCCCACGCACCTTTAGACGAGGCCTTGATATCTTCCTCTTCCTCGAGGGTGTTCGTTCGCACCACCGTCACCGGCGGAGGCGTTGGGGTGCTGGTGGTGGTGCTGGTGGTGGTGCTGGTCCGGCTCGTTTTCCGCCAGGCCGTCCACCGGTTAGTTTTCGGCCGCTTGGTCCACCAGCTAGGTGTCGTGGTGGACGCTTTGGTTGTGGTTGTGGTTGTGGTTGTGGTAGTTGGTGCGGGTGTGGTGGTGGTAGTGGTGGTGGTAGTGGTGGTGGTGGGAGTTGTAGTTGTTGTGGTCGTTGTAGTAGTTGTCGTTGTTGTCGTTGTTGTCTCGGGGCTGTTGTGAATCTCCCGAGTCGACCGGTGGGCGCTCCACGGGTTCCACACCCTGAAAAGGAGCGAACAAGACGGATTAGTACCAACAACACTTCCTTCCATAATGATGATACATTCTTGGGATGTTTGAGTGAAGCTGTTGACTCTCAAGCCTCTGGAACGCCCGCTAAGTTTTGGTGACATAGGTGTACGCCGAATTCATTACAAAAATGCTTTCATAATCAGTAAACAAGCTCATAAGTACCGAATACCAACCACGAAACGAGGCATTAAATTTGACGAATACCAGCACCCACGCGGCTTGCATTGCTGACGAATTGTCTTTTCAGGAAATATTGCAGACGCTTCTCATCGTATTTAGCCTGGCTCGGGTAAGCTGTTTCTCGTTATCGAAGAGCGCAGTAGATCCTGTATCTATGCGCATTTGAAGGTCACTCATCAAAGCATACCTATACGACACAGAAGTGCATTCCAAACAATATACTCGCATCATGCAAATGTGTAGACTCATAAGGCAATCCAGTATTATAAGCCATGCGCTATTTTGCCAATAATCATGTGCGCCAGCTCTACTGCGACTCCCCCCCCCCCCCCCAGGTCTTCCGGCATCCCCGGGTCAGGGTCACTTGCGTCGCGGCGATTCAGACCGTCTAGACCGATCGGACACGCCGACTATATGGATACCCTACGGCGCGGATTGAATAGCTCCGGCTGGTTTTACGGGCCGTAAGCCTGTGAGCTCCAGTGAGCTATGGCCGCCGGTGCGCCCATGACCAATGGACACGCCATGTATAGCGCAGCGTATACGCTGGTTTCCTGGCTGGACCGTGGGCTGTGTGGCCATGGCACATACAAACAGTGCTAGCTCTGTGACTGCTTCTAGCTCAGTGTCGAGCCTGTGCACCACAGCATGATGTACGAGGCAGTCGGAGAGACATAAACCCCTATATAGCTTGTCCAGACATAAATTAACGTGAAACATGGGCCATACAAGCATCGCTTAAGTCATATCCATGGTCATCACATGTTGTAGACCTTTCCATGCTTCTATCCTCAGGATACTGAAATCCTTCTCCTCCACTCCGCAACCCCCCTCCGGACTGGACAGGCAACTTTATCTCATGCGGGCTGCTCCCTTGGAGCGGCACCGCTGCTCCTGAGGGAGCGCACCCCGTAGCCGGGTGCAGTGAGTGCCTTGGGGCTGGGTGGCCTGTCCTCTGGACGGGCTCAGCCCCGGCGACTCACTAGGGTGCCTGCCCAGACCAATGTCTCCCCCTAATTCCTATCATCCTTCCGGCTCTGCAATGGTCTTGTCGACCGAAAGGGCCTAACCCAACAAAACAAACAAACAAACAAATCACATGTTGTCATTGACTGATGTGAGCATTGTATAGCTAGCTCCGCTCCCTCTACGATCTCTCCCTCTCTCTCTCTCTCTCTCCCTCTCTCTCTGTCTCTCTCTCTCTCTCTCTCTCTTTCTCTCTCTCTATCCTCTCCTCCTCTCTCCTTCTCTCTACGACATCTTCCGCTCCCCGAATCTTTCAATCTTTCCTCTGTCTCTCTTTCTCTCATTCTCTGTCTCCCCTCTTCCTATCTGTCTATCTCTCTCCAGCTCTCTCTCTCTCTCTCTCGCTCACTCTCTCTCACTCTCTCTCCCTCTCTCTCTCTCTCTCTCTCTCTCTCTCTCTCTCTCTCTCCTCTCTCTCTCTCTCTCTCCTTCTATCTCTAACTCTTTCTCCCTCTCCTTCCCCCTCTCCCTCTTCCTCTCTCGTCTGTATTACTCACTTTTTGGTGGTGGCTTTCTCGGTGGTCTGCTGGGTGGGCGGGTCGGTCCACACGGGCCGCGTCTGGGTGGCGCTGGTGAAGAAGTCGCTGGACCCGTACGAGATGCGTCCGAACCCGTTACCGCCGCTGTCGTCCGTCACGCAGGTAACCGTCACGGCAGTACTGAAACAGAGCGTCACGGCACCCGTCAGTGAGACCGCATCACTGGAGGTGAACGCTTACACATGCATATCGATAGGACCGTAGACACTAGAGATGGATTCTAGGTAGTCCTGACATTGTTCGATCACACAGGACATTCAATAATATACGTAAAAAAAAAACACCATGGCGTGTAAGGTAATTACCTATTGCTAACCCTGATAATGCCGTAGTGTGACTTTTAACGATGGTAAACAGTCACAAGCAAGGCATTCCATGTCGCAACAGGAATTTGCACCAATCGCTTATCAAAATCATTCGGTAGCGAGTGCAAAAACGCCGAGCATATTCGCTCTGTCCGGTTTTGTCCGTTTGTGAGTCATCCTTTGCCAGCTACTTATCCCTAATTCATGATGGATAATAATCAGAAGGTGCCACTGAAAACTGCTTTGAGGTCGATGATTCAGTGAAGGTGCATCAAGCCCGGCATTTGACATTGTATCACGAGTGTGCATTGAAATGGACGTGAATTAGTTACGAAGTTTTACGGCAAACTGATGATCGAATATAAAAGGTGGTGGAATATTTCAGAAGAGGAATGAGTCACCAGGTTACACACAAGAACAAATTAAGTGCTATGAAATATAATTTGTGAATAGAAAACATTGCTGTTAGATCCTGAACTCGAAGCGGAATGACGGTTTTCAGACGTGGCAACTGTCACTACGTGCTCGGGCGCCACTGATGATCGTCGCACTATAGTTTGACGACAAAAATGCGACAAGTGGGCTAGTACCCGGTTCTTGTTAGCAAGAGACATAAAACGTGTTTGGCAAAATTGGTCACGTCAGCCAACGGTAGTAGTAGTGTATTGCAAATGCCCACAATCCTCGCAGCAAAAACTGCCGAATAAGTAACACTGAGCAGTGGACACAATAAATGTAAAGGTACTTCGAACGGCGAAACCGTTGAACAAACCAAAACCACTAGAAAGGTGAGTGATGAACGAACATCTCCTTCTGACTACACAAGGGTACGGCGTATACCGGATGAATTTGAATGCACTTGGAATGTTAGACGACAAAATGCTGAAGGACGTTCACTTTTGGTTACATCTGCCTTTTTATTCCCAAGATCGAATTGATTTCGAAATGATCCTATCCTCTCAAGCAAGATATGACAAACGCTCGATCGCGCAGCGGATATCAATTGTCGACAACGCAACACCGAACATCGTTCATCATATTCATTTTACCTAAGCCTCCCCGAACGTCCCAAAAGATACCTTCCCTCCCTACCCCATTCTTCCCTTCTCGCCCCTTCCTATACCCGTTCCTCACCTTTCCGACTCCGCAGGGCGATCCCTCTGCCGCCGGCCTGTAGGACACGCAGTAGCCGGTGGCCTGGTCGAAGCAGAAGAGCTGCGCGCAGACGCGGTCGTCCTTGAAGCAGGCGCTGGTGCCGCGGTCCCGCTTGCACTGGGCGTCCAGCGAGAGCAGCTTGCCCGGCAGGTGACGGTCCAGGTTGTTTCTCTCGTGAGGAGCGTTGTAAAGACAGGTGGCCGTCTCACCGCTGGAAGTGGGAAACAGCGTGATTAAATTATACCGACATGTTGTACACTTGAGAAAGTAGGTTGGCGATGCATAGTTGCCTAAAGCTGTAGAATCAAGTAGAATCCCAGGCAGACGTGAAAGGAAACTAATGTTCATGGGATTACGTATTTACCAGGACGAGACTTGACAGTTGTTTGTGGTCAGCGTGCAAATTGGTCCGGTTTCGATCAAAAGTGCAATATCTGCTGACTTGTCGTTGATGGGATCTAGGTCATCTGACAAGTGACATCATCACATCGTCTTTGGTATAACTGGCTACACTTTTTTGATGGAGCTGAGCGCCCATAATGGAAGAAGTAAGCAAGTTGACCGCAATCTCCTAAGATCGCTCAGGTGGTTGGGATATTTCTGTCATTCAAACTCTGGATAAAGGGATAGATAAGAAGGAAGATGTGGTTTATGGGACCAGCACAGCGCCGCACCCACAACAACACACACCACAGACCCGTCAGGCCAGACTCTCTAACAGGTCATTGCAGGTATATCGTGCTCCCAACTATGCATTCCAGCCTGAAAACCTCACTTTATCCTTTCTTTTTCTCACCCTTTCGCTCTTCTTCTCCTTCTCTTTTCTCTCTCTCTCTCTCTTCTCTCTCTCTCTCTCTCTCTCTCTCTCTCTTCTCCTCTCTCTTCTCTCTCTCTCTCTCTCTCTCTCTCCTCTCTCTCTCTCTCTCTCTCTCTCTCTCTCTCTCTCTCTCTCTCCTCTTCTCTCTCTCTCTCTCTTTCTCTGTCCCCCCCCACTCACTTGAGGAAGTGGTCGAACTCCTCCAGGCTGCACGGGGACCACTTGAATCCCTTCTCGGTGTGCCGGAGGTCGGACATGATGAAACCCTCCTCCCAGCGGCATCGTTTGGCTCCCGGTCCTCCCAGGTAGGAGGGCGGCGGCGAGCCGTCGTGCACGTTCCCCAGCAGGTGACCCAGCTCGTGGGCGGCCACGATGATGCCCGAGAAGCCGCCCGTGTCCTCCACGATTGCCACGGAGTTCACCTTGGTGAGTCGTTTGTTGACCACACACGCTCCGCCCACGTACGCGAAACCTGCGTCGGACGGTGGGGTTAGACGTGGCTCGGGCGGGTTTCAGCACTTACATATCGATCATGAGCCTTAATAAATCTTTTATTAGCACAGAAGGTGAGAATCAATTTAGCTTTATTTTGTAAGTTAATGTCCTCGTAAGTAGGAATTTAGTGACTTTTAGCGACATTTGTAGTTACATATTGCACACCAATGTCAAGAAAAGCATAAAGCAAAAGACATTAGACACAAATAACGAGAAACGAAATAAAAAGTTCCGTTTGAACAACATGCTTTAATTATTTACAAGAATTCAAATTTAATAGCATGCAATTAAGACGCTCCTATTCTTTCGTGATTGCATTGCAACTTTAATTGTACATTTGATACCAAACTGCAATGTCGCAAACTCAAATGGCGCACGTTTTAGAAATTAGCACTATAGCAGTCACGGCTGAGCCGATCTCTGCGCACTCTTTGCGTTACGTTACGTGACGCTGCACTGCCGACCGTCGGTCGTTACGTTCGCGTCGGGCAGTCGTCACGTCACGTTACTCTGCCGTCACGGAGGACGGTTGCGTTTCGCAGTCACGTGCCGCGGCGTTAGCGTCATTGCGTGACTCCTCTGTGCGTTCAGTCACGGTCAGGTCAGAGGACGAGCCAGGCAAAGCCAAGCGAAGCGGATCGGGTAGGTCGGGAGTTAGATATGAGTTTAATTTATCCCTAAAAGCGTTGTTATTCGTCGGTTGCTGTT